TAACGTGTGTTATTTTGTTCAGTTTCCCCACAAAAATTTGCTCATTTCAATTATCCACGTGTAGACTGTTTGCCGATAGACTTCTCAATTGTTTAAAATACATTTTTGTCCAGTTTTGTTTTCAATGATAATGAATGTTGTTACTGGGTTTACACTCCCGGGTTTTTGATGGTACCCAAATGCGTTTCGGCTTTGCGCCATCTTCAGTGAGGAAGACCGACCCTGTCAAACGGTTCAACTGTTTTTACTTCTAATTCAAGGCACGGGGGTTCGAAACATGATTGTAATTGTCATTTCTTCTATGGCTTAAAGCACTACACCCTCTTTAAAAATACTCCAAGACGATAAATATTTCCGTCTATTTATAAAACAGGAAGAACAGCCAATAATCGTTTAGTGCGGCCCATTCGACTATAATAGCCCATAGATTCCAGGACCGACTTCATAGTTTTATATTTCTTTTTAAATGAAATGGCTAATGGAGAGAAATTAGATTTAATAGGAAATTTATTTTCTCGATGCTGAAAGGGAAATTACGCGTAGATAAATCGGAGATAATAACCCGGACAATTAGAAATCGGACGAGTTCAAACCCAAGTTCAAAAAAGTCCGATAAAGTTCTCAGACATAGTGAAAGTTACGGTGCTTTCTCTCCCCCTCTTGCACAAATGTCTCAAATAGATACAAGCCGTGTTTTTTTGTCGACCTTATGTCTCGGTTTTGCATCCGGCTTAAAAAAAGAAAAAAGCTCGACGTTGGAAAAATTGTACGATCCTTTATGGCGCCAGTAAACTTGAAAGCGTTGGAGGAACAAGAGTGTGGAACCGGAAATCAGTCGAAGGCGAAAACGACCATCGAATGGAATGATACATGGCGTATTTCGCAAAGCCGAAACTTGAGAAAATAATCATAAAAAGGTACATTAGCCTGGCCAGTTTATTTACTTGATTCACCGGAATGGCCGGGCCATGAAAACAAATCCTCCTACATCCAGTTGCACAATTCCTCAAATATTTCGTTAATAAATTCCTGTTTATTTCAGGAACCTGAAACCTATCTGTTGCCATATTTTTTAAATATTCATGACTATGAATGTAAAATATTCATTTTATATTCATCAGTCAACATAAGACTTCTCGGTAAAACTGTTTATGGGGTCTGCAGGGTGACGAACAGTTTGGTCGTTTTCTATTATTTTGGCCCAGCGAAGATAGTCAAAAATGAACTGAAATAATGTATATGATGTAATATATAATAATGTATATAATAAATCATAATGCAATTCCAGTCATATTGGCAGGAATAACGTACTATGTTAGGTGTCGCAGAAGGTCAGAGCCACTTAAAATTCTTTTTACAATTTTTTACCAATTCAAATTCCGTGGTCGGTGCAGGGATTCGAACCTAGAACCGCTAGCGTGGCAAATACGAGTCGGTCGATCTGGGCCACCTCCATCCCGTAGAATGCCCAGATTAAAGGTTTTTCCCCGTCAAATTAACCCGTTTTAATTTCAAATTAACCTTTTTTATAATTCCAAATTAATCTTTTTTAGTTTCAAATTAACCTTTTTAAATTTCATATTAAACCCTTTTTAACTTCAAATGAACTCTTTGAAATTTTAAATGAACCCTTTTTAACTTCAAACTAAGTTGTTTTAATTTCAAATTAATCGTTTTAACCTCCAAATTCACCCTGTTAATTAAAATAATCTTCTTTTAATTCTTAATTTAATTCTTTTAGTTCTGAAAATAATCTTCTTTTAATAATTAATGTATGGTGGTTAGTGACCGTTAATCAATAATTATTCAGAAATCGTGAGATGCGGTCTGGTGTGATGTAGGTTTCAGAAAAACATTATCTTTATTGTGCTAACGTTTCGACCTTTATTGTGATCATCTTCAGGGCTCAAAGTGTTTGTCTTCTGTGTAATTATACCATTCTTGCGTGCCATTCTTGGGCACTCTCAACACGACACGCACGAAAATTGTATTTAAAAATCTTTATACGGTGGGTCTAAAAAGCTCCATTTTTTCAAATGAAGGAATTTTATTTTATATGCCTGCAGTTAATTCTCTAGGTTTTTTTTATGTTTTAAAGAAAAGGTTAATTTTAAATTATAAAGGGTTAATTCAATGTTAAAAATGGTTAGGTTGAAGTTAAAAAGGTTAATTTGACATTAAAAAGAGTTAAGCTGAGAGGCCAGACCGACCGACTCGTATTTGCCATGCTAGTGGCTCTGGGTTCGAATCCTGGCACAGCCCAAAAAAGAAAAAAGCTTCATACTCTATACTATAGGATTAATGACACTGTCATGGACAGCGAATCGCCGATGGATTATCCTGCTTATAAATGAGCGCGATTTATTAAGAAATTCTATTGTTTTAATTAATTCTTCGGTATAAAAGGTCCTGTTTTCTATCTTTCCTTTCCACTCTTTCTACAAAAAACTCTAATTCCTTTGAACTCATAATTTTATCTTAATTCGGTCCGGTCCTAGGTCCTAGCCTGCGCCTGACTTGCTCTGGTTCGCCTCTCACAGAACCGATGCGTACGGAATGCCGAAACCAAGCGAGGACAGGCGGACCAGGAGGATCCGTAACGACCGATTTAACCCGCAGATCACTCGGTGAAATCTCATACTGTTACGTACAAAATACAATTTTGAAAAGATTTTACCCACGGTTGGAAGAGGATCCTACAAAGATGTGTGCTTTATCATGATGACAATTCATTTGCCAAGTAAATGCTTTTATTGCACCGGAGCAAGAAGTGTCATGTCATCTTTCTATTTTTTTTAAAACTTTTTCTGCACAGCCTAATAGACAATTATTATCGGGGATAATGACATAATTGGATGCTAATCCCGAATCACGTATGGGACCGATAATGCCATCTGGTTCGTACTCCGTTGTTAAGCACCATTTTTGTCCTAGCAAATAATACCTCATGCCAAGCAGTTTAAAAACTTCGTGTCGGTCTGACTTTTCAATCGAGATTGAAAAGAACATTGGAGTTAAAAAATTTACTTTTGTCTGCTTGTGTTGAGTAATCTCTCATGCTTATTTTATCTGAATGAATCATTGTGATTTGAATTGCTAGTTATAAATGACTTATTCTCTCATTCAAGGAATTAGACCGTTTTAATTGCTAAATCAAGACAAAACCACGAAGAAAAACCTCAGAAGAGAATTAGTTCGAGCATTTACACTTTTTTCCTCTTTACGGATTTCTTTATCACTTAAACTGTCGTCTATTGTGCCGATTTTTCTACTAAAAATATATATGTATATTCACAGGGTCTTTAGCTTAAGAGCTGTGTTTCCAGATAGATTATCTACGTCTCTTCTAGACATAATCGACATTGGTTATCCGATGATAGTCTCATTTTAAGGTGATACTGAACTGCATGTCCTATAAAAATCGTTTTTAATTGCTTTTTGTGTTGAGATTTCCACTTGTATCCATTGGGTTCTTTATGCGAGTAGTCTTTTTACTGGCCTCATGCCTCGTTTAGTTCCCGATTGTGTTCTTCTGTAACCAACTGCTGACTCGTTTCCTGTAATTCTCTCATGACCTGGGACCTTACAGTTAGGCTATTTAAAGATATAGCAGTTTTTTTGTACGTAGGCAGTTCCAAATAAGTTTTGAGGTGACCACGTAGTCCTAGAAAGCCTTTTGAACTGCATGCTGTCTGAAAGAATCAGCTCTCAACAATGTTGTTTGCTTCTTTTCACCGCCCCATGACTGTGGGCGTTATTTTAGAAACGTTGATGCTAAGGCATGCAATTCTTTTGATTTTTTGTTGAATTTCCTCTGCGTTTCTTTGTTCTATTTTTGGCCACCATATATAAGTTGCGAAACAGATCAAGGATCTGAAAATCCTAAGGTATGCCCAAGGTCATTTTAGGATTCAGTGTCAAAGTTTGTCCACAGATTTTTGTTGGCATAGCAAGTTAATTTTCGGTCAGGAACTCCTAGGTATTTTACTTCTTTGGAATGCCTTAGTACTTAATTTCGCAAGGGTATAGCTGTAAGATTAAGTTTCTTTTCCTTGTGAATGGGGACAACAATATTTGCCTTTGCAATTGTTTACGTTAACCCTTATCCTGGCACCATTTCAATATTAAGTTTAACTCTTTTTGCAATAGTTCGACCAGAGAATGGACTGTCTCCTAGTATTGACCATCTGCGGACGTCGAAGCCCTTTATGCAGAAGGTTGACCAATGACAATATAGTTGATGATGATACCCTTCCTTGGGGCATCATGTAGTTTTATTGCATTTACACTTAATAGAAAGGTAGTTAATAGGTCGGACTGTAAAGTATATGGCATATTGCAAACGTTTAGGCCAGCGTTGTCTACAATTCTAATTGAGGGTATTAAAAATGATCCGGCGATTAGCCTCGTTCAAGGATCCGTTTCATTGCAGAGATTATATTGGAGAAGCGAGCGCTTAGTTTTCTAATAAATTTACCTGCCTGGAGAACTAAAGCCCCTTACGGGGAAGAAACAATGAGCGAACTTTTAATTGCCCCCGCAAAAGATTTGTGTCTTAAAGTTTGGTCCACCTGCTAAAATTAATTGACCGATTATAAAGAAAGCACGTAACTATCGTTCCAGATAGTGTAAAGAAAAACAGCTTCAACGAAGATCTTTTGAGGAAATGTCAAGAGACAACTTCTAAAATGTAATATGAAACTATATGTAACAATAAAGAAATAAAGTTAATAATAACACAAAATATAAAGGAAAGGGAAGTAGAGTCAATAAACATAATAACATGTCCGCAAACATAACACAACGGAAGCCAAAGGGTGAAACGTTATGTAATTTTAACGCATAAATTACATGCAGCCTGTAATGAAAGCGACAGCGCCGTTCGAAAGGATCCGGGTAAAACGTCTATCTCAGATTTAATTGGTTTCCTTTTTTCGATTCTTGGCACGACTTTGACAACGGAATCGCCGAAAAGAAGGAAACCTCGTGTCGGGCCTTACCTTTCTTGAGGGTGAGCTGGTTCTCGCCGGAAGCCTGGAAATCGTAGAGGGCGACGAAGAGCTGCGGGTCGTCCTCCTCCTGGACGAGGAGGTTCTCCTTGCTGGTCCACCTGCTGGCACTCGGGTCGAGCCCTCCGGTCCCTGCTGGCTCCGGCAGGTCAGGGATGTGTGGTAAAGGACGGCTCGCTAGCAGCGCCTCTGGAAATTCAGTCACACCTTCATTCATTCGGTACAAAACAAAGACATTTTAGTTACAGAGATTGTCTACATCTAACGAGGTTTCCTTACCACAACGGGTTCCTTCTCTATAGAAATGAGAGACCGAATATTTTGAGGATTACTAAATATAATCTTACAGAATTTGCGGGGTTTGTTACAAACTCTTTGGTGGTTTTACATATATAAAATAATATGATCCCTGACCAATTCATTCACCCAATTCTGAATGGGTGTGAGCCAACTGGCGACAAATCGTAACGGTCCCCTGTAGAAAATTCAGAGTCAAATAAAAAATGCGCTGTCTAATACAATAATAATACTAATAATTACGTGTGTCACATAAGAGTCGGGTTGCTACAATTATTCATCAAATCATAGGCGGAACCATAGCTGGATCTGAATATTCAAAACGACACAATAATGTGGTCAACCTGAATAATCAGGTCATAGTCGTTGTACTGGGACTCGTGAGAAAGTGTTTTACTAAAAATATGCATATTGGACCAATACTGTAACAAAAGGAAAAAATGCGGAGATAACAGATTACAATCTCAAACGACAGAGACATAAACTGGTCTATAGAAGGTCCGAGTAAGCCCATCATAACAACATGCAATTGCCTAATTCCTAAAAGAAGAGCGACATTTGAGACTATATGAATCTATCATGAAGATAGTTTGATACATATGATTCAGCCTCGCATCGAACTGTCTTAGGGAATGACTATGGTTACCAGTTACTGAAAATGCGTTTTACATGAATGACCTTAAAGCATATGTCATCCTTTAAAGCCTACTTAAGACCTAAAGCATCAGTCCTAAGCCCCTACGGCGAATATGTTTGACTTAATAATAACAAATAATAAAAATATCGAGTCTTACGCATAAAGCATAGAAGAACCTTGGAATCTTGTGGTACTGTCCTACCCACTTTGTAGCAAAACTGGCTATAAATACTAAGGTTAGAGACAACACTTAAAACAGCTAGCTGTTGGTTTGGTCACCCAGTAACAGAATTTAAGTGCAGGGTGCTGAAAACAAAGTATAACGTGAAAGTCATCAATATACGAGCCATCCCGTATCTGAAGTCTAAGATCCTCAAATGGTCAAAAACTAGGCTTGAAAACCCTGATCGTTTTGTAAGAAGCAGTAAGTCTTAGAATAGATGAACCACCCAAGGAGCTTCTTAAGAGTCTTTTTAAGCTTCTGGGAAGAGACCTAGTCAATATAAAAAATCAAGTAAAAAGAAATTGATCCCTTGCTCAAGCAATGCAAAGACTTGATAGGAAGTACATGGTCATGAACTTGATAGGCCATTCAGACTTGGGCATAAGCAGATAGGCAGATAAATTACACCCTGAAACAGAGGGTTTCTCGCAGGCTATTTAAGACCAGATTATCGCCGCTAGAGTTTATAGCAAATACTTCTTAAGGAAGGATAAAGAGAGTGTCCAACACCTCACAGCATGCTGCCCGGTAATGACTCTTACTATTTACCTAGAGACACGTAAGCATTGCCACCATTATTCAACATTATAGTAAAGTACAATTAATTAAGGTTTTTAGTTGAAATGAAAAAAGCTAATGGCACGAGAGATGGGGAGTTGATGTCCGAGTGGATCGAGGTCACGATAACTCAGGTGGTAGAGCAGCGGCGTATCTAGCCGAAGGTCGTGGGTTCGAAACCCTCTCGTTCCATTAGCTTTTTTTCATCTCAACTAAAAACCTTAATTAATTGTCATGTATTAATTGGTCAAGCGGACCACGAAAGTAGTGAATTATAGAAAGGCATGGACAATATCCTTATTAAAAAGATTAGCAGCCTGGATTTCTTCAAAAAGACCTATTTATAATCTATTGGAATATCCAGTTAATTACAACTAGGATAATCAATCCGACATAATAGTAGAAGATCTAATCTGGGAGAAGGCAGCTCAAGTTACTGATATTGCTGTTTGATGAAACATTCAGAAAGTAAGAGAGGAAAGGATACGAAAATACCACAAGAAAAATGAATGGGCTGACACGCACTGAAGTTATTTGAAGGTTAGCTTGTCAGATCTCTTAGAACCAGCGATAGTGGGTTCGATTACCATCGTCGTCCAATTTCCAACACTTACCCAAAAATATTCTTATCATTAGCAATCCGGCTAATTTTCTAGAACACAAGAATTTTCACTACTTAGTGTTACTACTAACTTCCAAAAATTATACAATAAACCTCAACTAATAGTTAGTAACTATACTAATACAACAATAATACAGGTACGAACTATGCGGAACTAACGACGCTGACCATATTTATTACTGGGTTCGTCTTCTCGTTGGTTTCGGCTTCAATCCATCTTCAGCGAGGGACACCCGGAAGTAATCAGTCCAACGAATGTCCACTATTCAAATAATTTTACCATGTTTAAATATTTAAAAAAAAATCTTTTGCTAGTATTTGTAGTGTTGAACCTTTAAGACGGTCGAACATTAGTCCATGTCAAAATTTTCAAGGTTTTTGTCTATTTGAACGAACATGTCTTGCCCGAGGAATGTAGATTATAAGCATGTAAACTATAGAAACTATTTTTATAACAATAATCAATAAATCTTAAGGTAAATTTAAGCCGAGAGGGGAAAAAAGCTTTATTTTTAAATAGGTAAGCCTTCGGTACAATGTTAATTCAGATTCTGTTGAAAACCATAATTAATACAATATCCGGATCATCAGTTTATTCATTTATACATCATTTGTCATCTGAACAGCGAGAATAAACGGACCAGTGATAATTTTCACTGAGAATTTGACCGATTAGAACAAGAACAGAATCCAATAAAACGTCCAAATTCCAGTTTATATCTTCATTTTGCTTTCAGAAGAATATTCAAATCTCGGTTGAAATGACAGTCGAGGATGGCGAAATGCCATTGAGATAGACAGCGAGAATTAGCGGACCAAGACTAATCAAACTCCTGTCAAATTAAAAAAAAATGTTTAATTAAGTTAACCGATCATTTTGTTCTTCTTAAAAACTGATAAAATAATCTGTTAACTGTTATAACAATCTTCTTACTTAGTTCAATAGGTCGTGAGTTAAAGTATATTTTATATGTTCAAAACGAATTATTTTAGTCCTTTCCGACGGGTCGATGATCTCATTAAGAGATTACACCATTAATGTTCAAAGCGAGGTAATCAGCCTTTGATCCGAACCACATTTTATTTTTAGAATCAAAACCTTCGATTCGATCCAGTTTTTCCCCATTTCCCATGCTCCCCGGCAACAGCACAACTTTTCATTAACATGAATCAATAAAGAAAGAAAAGAAAAATGAGTGATGCAGTATAAACGAGGTCACAATTGAATAAAAGGATACAATTTTCGGAAGCAACGAACACTGCGTGAGTCACGTTGAGTCATCGCGGAAGAAGGAAAATACGGTACGTGTTGGTCAATATGTGCCAGGAGAAAATTATGATAAATTAAAAACAAAAATCACTGGTAAAAAAGTTAAAAAGGGTCGGAAGCGTCCCTGGAAATGAGGGCAGATGCATTCTATAGCCATTGTCAGCATGTGAGTGGATGGCAGCAGGTGCTACAAGTACAAAACTGCTAATTATGGTAGAATCTAATAACATATAACATGTCCGAACCCACCGCTTCATGTATATTCTATTTTTTGTTTTATCAAATCCACGGCCTTTTTTGGTAAACAATAGCAGGCGTTACTTATGATTCAAACATTTTTCCTGTTAAGGATAGTCAAAAATTGGATCTGCTCGGTATTTTTTGACGTAGAAAGCAATACAAAAATTGTGCACTGCTGATTCCTTACATACGTAAAAAAATCAATGGAAGCTGTTATCGATTGTATAAACAGTATACAGTAGTTACTGAACCAAAACTTAATTTGATGAAGCAATTTACTTTAACTAACATAATGGAACACAACTTGGTTCAATAGAATGGTTTCCAGGTTCGAGGCATGCGACAATCAAAGTACCATCGCAGACTACTAAACCTAGGACGTGTTAGGACTAGAACGATAGTTTCATTGTACATTGGAGTCTGCAAACTCCGGCGGCATACAGGCTTTGGAACAGTACAAACAAGCTTGTCCAGATACGCAGGAAGAGGAAGAAACGGCAGAACATGGCTTCTCTTGGTTCAAAGACTAATTGAGGCTGAGATTCTTACTCTGCAAGAGAGGATAAACCCAGAATAGGAGAGGCAAAGCCCAAAATGGAAATTCTACAACGTAGAAGCAAACTCCTAATAACCTCAACTTTATTCGATTCACAGGAAAACACCCAACCATGGATATGTAACCTTAAACACAACCGGCCACTAGCCGAACCAGCATGAAATCTTTTGTGTTTTGCCGTATGGTAAAGATATAATAATCTATCTTTTAGTAAGACAAAATCTTTTAAGAAGGCATTATTTGCGGGAAAAAAACACGAGTTATCGTAAATGATATTGTGGTAAATGTATATAAGCAAACAAGCGCGTACAGATTTGTTCACATCGGTAAACAATTTTCAATTATCTCTAGTCTGCAAATCCCATATTTTTTAATCCCAGCAACAGGATTGAGTTCTTTGAACTGTGAGTAAACAAACATACAACCTAATATGCTTCACTTATATTTATATCTTTGAAGTGAGCCAGTTTAATACGAGTCTTCGTCTGAACAGTTTTGTGACTCGGGTTAATTCATTGCAAATTTCGCAAAAACCATTCAATAATTCGTCTCAAATTTGTTATCAGGTATCATCAATTTAGTTATTTTTCTTACATATTGAAAATATTTACTTTCCTTAATGGTTATAATCTATTCCGTTTAATTACAGTATGAAGCCATTTTCAACATTTTTGAAAGATTAAATAATGCAATCTCTACAAGGACTTCCTTATCGTGAAATTTCAAAAAAATATAAATGCTCTATTGGGGTAATAACAAAACGTAAAAGATCTTCCGGAATTTCCA